GTGCATGGTTCATTGTCAACCTATGTCTGCCATCCATCGGGATGTAGGTCACACTGACACAGGTCATAAATCAACCTGAAAATAAACTTTGTTCGAGTTCATCTTAAATCATAAACAGGGCCACCCGCGAGTCCAAACTTGCAAGTTTGGCAAGTGCACGAGTATTTGTAGAAAGGCAAGTAAACCTGCAAGTACCTGCAGGTACTTGCAAGTGGAGCCAGCAAAAAAATAAAAACTGAGAAACTTATACTTTGTAGGTACTCCAAATTGACAAGTTTGAGAAGTAAACTGAGAAAATCTTTTCCAATTCTTATCTAAAAATCACCAAAATATTTAGGGCACTTCTAAACACATTTTTCCATTTAATCACCATGGGGATTTAGTTTAAGCTCAGTATTTGTGCCAAATGAGCCCAATATGGAATCCATTCCTTCTAACAGCACTTCCAGGGCTTTTTTGGCACAACTACCGAGTTCAAGCCAAATCCCCATGGTGATTTGATGGTTAAATATGTCTAGCAGTGCCTAAAATATTTTGGTGATTTTTGGATAAGATTTGAGCAAGTTATACCTTGTAGATACTCCAAATAGATAAATTTGAGCAGTAATCTGAGCTAAACTTTCTCAATTCTTATTTAAAAATCATGAAAATATTTGAGGTACTCCTAGACAGATTTATTCATTTAATGACCATGGGAATTTGGTTTGAGCTCAGTACTTGTGCCAAATGAACCTAATATAGAATTCAATCCTTCTAACAGCACTTCCAAGGCTTGTTTGGCACAACTATCAAGCTCAAGCCAAATCCTCATGGTGATTTGATGGGTAAATGTGTCTAGTGATGCCTCAAATATTTTGGTGGTTTTTAGTCAGAATTTGAGAAGGTTATACCTTGTAGATGCTCCAAATTGACAAACTTGAGCAGCAATCTGAGCTAAACTTTCTCAATTCTTATATAGAAATCACAAAAATATTTGAGGCACTCTTAGACACATTTATCCATTTAATGACCATGGGAATTTTGTTTGAGCTCAGTGGTTGTAAACTTGTAACAAACAAGCCTTGAAAGTGTTGTGAGAATGATATAATTTTAATTTTCATTTTTCTATCAGAAGCTACCAATAATAATACAAGTGATATTTATGTGGTTTTGAGGCAAGCACTTGCAAGTGTACCTGCCTGATCTTGGGGCCAAACTCGCATACTTGCAAGTGCAGGTATCAAGTAGATGTGGGCCATCACTTCGCGTGGCAAATACGAGGCCCAGTTCGGAAAAACTGAGGCGCTTATAATGTTCAAGCGCCCTCGGGGTTTTCCAATACTAAATGGGGTAAGTACTGGGAACTTCTGTGGTCAAGTTTAGTAAGGACGAGTCCCTAAAGGGCCTCGTAATGGACGAGTTTTCCCACGGGTGGACCTGCAGGTACCTGCAAGTATCCACACCTGCCCGAGATCTCTAATGCGGATCGCTGAACAGCAGATCTGAATCTGCTCATTGTCGTGTACGGCATTAGGTCATTGTGTCGTTCTCGATGCATTTGAATTTTGGATTGGGGGATGTCCTCCCTGGGTGGTTAGGAACTGAGAAGAAAAATTTGAGGAGGTCTTATGGGTAAGTTTTCTTCAAAGTTCAAACTTACATTCTAAGTGGTTTTCTTTCGTATTTTTTTAGGAACGCAAAAGTAGAAACGGTATTTATGTTTACACAGGTGGTGTACTCGGTGTATGTCTGCAAGGAGACGGTGGAACACATTGTTTCGAGCGGCGGAGATAGAAGGCCATTATCATCATGAAGAGCGGGATTTTGGGTGCGTCTTCTCCCATGAGTCTTTTCGCAAATGCTTGACCGACTGATAAGCGCTGTAACGTCAAACAACGTCGAACTTTCTCTATTGTTAACACTACTGATGACTTCCCGCAAGGATTATTTGCAAGATAGGTCTGCAATTAATGTCGGATGCATTGATAACTGGGCAAGCGAAATTTTGGTTTAGGGAGATCACTGGTTCCGCTGATCGTATCCCGGACTTGGGTCATTAATTGCAGATCGAGCTGCAAATAATTCTTACGGGAAGTCATCCACTCGTATCCCGGACTTGGGTCATTAATTGCAGGTCAAGCTGCAAATAATTCTTACGGGAAGTCATCCACTTTCTTGTCTGCCGTTGATCGTCTCTGCTTTTTGACATATTACTCAAATCTCTACAGTAACTGGCAATCGGATAAAAGCAAGTCTTCGAAGGAGAATTTCAGTGTCAGCTGGTGGCATCTAGTAGTAATTCAGTCCTGTTCTTCCATTCCGGACCCTGACAATATGAAAGGTGTGAAAAATCCATATCTTTTTGCAGTCATATTATACCTACCTACCTACCTATTCACTAGTTGACAGCTAGGATTGTAAATTAATCTGACCGGGAGTTTTGGAAGAGATGAAATGTATCCATAAACGTAAACTCCGATTCATGTTCTATAGTTTGTACATTTCAAACTTTCTGGTACCGGTGGCCGAAAGCGATTTGACCCCCTAAAAGAAGAAAAGGTCCCCATTTTCAGGGCTGCTGGCACCAATGAGTGTCCTTGTAAATGCTCCATAACCGAAGCTTAGTAAGAAAATATGTTGCAATTGGTGCCAGTCAAAACAGGTCCCTCTGTTCAACCTCTGTTTGCTGTTTATGCTCTGTACATAGGAGGCTCTGAGATCAGAAGAGATATAATTTCTTACAACTTGAAGGTATTCACATTGAGGAGAATCCATGGCATTATCATTACGACTCAGTAAAGAGCATTACCTTTCGGAGAGGCCTTTCCTCCAAACAGCTTCCTTGTGCTCCAAATTAACCGCATCTTACGCGAGCAGCGTTCGGACATGTCTGAAAACGCAAAAATGCCCGTTGCTACATAATCCTAAGCTTCGCTTCTGTGTGAACGACCGATCAGCTGCGTCAGAAACACTACGGAAAACATTGTGAGAACACTGGCACATTGATGGATGTTCCCGATCGGAGTAACCGTTCTTGCCACAGTGAAAGTCGTAGCCGACACTTTCTGACGTGTTGCTAATACTTAAAGCTTAAGTACTTAAGTACTTAAGTCTTACACCCTAAGCACTGGTGGGCAGTTAAAGACTGAGTAAACCTTTCTATTATGACCTATACGATGGAAGAGCCAATCCCTGCTTTGAGAGCTGTTGTTACGAGGCCGGAGTTTACTGCGGAGGTCTCGTCCTTGCTAAACTCGAACTCGAGTTTCATGCGTATACCCATATGGTTAATCAGATATCTTATTTATATAAACCATTAAGTCATGAGGTCATACTTACCGGCCCTCGTACCTCTACTTAATCGTCCATACAAACTTGTAACAGCACTCTGGATGACTTCTAACTTCATATTTCCGTAATCATCGTCTTCTATTTTGTAATCTGCTGTAGAGTTTAAAGAAAAGCTTTGAGAGGAGGTACCTGCTCCAGCAGTTCTCAGTTTTCCCTTCCCCACTATTGATCAGCTCGAGACATACAAGGTAGTCCATGTTCTAACTGACTCCCCGCGATATCCACACACTCAAATTATTGAACAGAGTCAATTGCTCACAATCATGCGGCTTATCAACACAACGACTCTCCAAGTTGTTGAGTTTCTAAGCATCGACGTCCCTCCATACGCAATCCTATCCCACACATGGGGCAACGAAGAGGTTACTTTCCGTGACATGATGCTCCGATTCACCGAAGATCATGCTGTCGAAGCTAGTACACGAATCGAACAAAAAGCAGGCTTCATCAAGATCCAAAAATCCTGCGAAATCGCCAAGCGCGACGAGTTCAAGTACATCTGGAATGACACTTGTTGCATCGACAAAGAGAGCAGTGCCGAGCTCTCCGAAGCCATCAACTCGATGTATAGTCACTATGGAGGCTCTGGGGTATGCTACGCTTACCTCGTCGACGTCTCTCGTGACGTCTTTCTCCGAGAAATCCAGGACAACGATCCGGGCGACGAAATGGCAGTTTCAGCGTCCTTATGGAAAAGTCGATGGTTCACGCGGGGATGGACCTTACAGGAACTCCTCGCGCCTTCCAATGTCGTATTCTACGACAAGGATTGGCTAAAAATTGGCACACGAACCAGCCTTGCAAAGCTCGTTTCTGTTATCACTATGATACCTACTTCCGTCCTTACGGGGAACCGGGACCTCAAATCATATAGCATTGCACAACGAATGTCCTGGGCAGCAGAAAGAAGGACGACGAGAGCAGAAGACATAGCTTACTGCCTGATGGGTATCTTTGGGGTGGGCATGCCGACTTTGTATGGGGAAGGAGCTATCAGAGCATTTATTCGGCTTCAGGAGGAGATCATCAAGTATAATGATGATGGAACTATTTTTGCCTGTGTCGGAAATTTAAATACGGAGCCGTAAGCGGCTGTAAGCGCTTATGATGAGCGTAATGAAATCGGCCATTACGGTCCATTATGGCAGGGAGGAAATCATTATAAAGTCCTCGGTTAATCATCATCTTGCCGGATACTTTTACTCATTGGTAGGTGGTACCTCATTGACCGGTGGATGACTGTAGAGGGAAATGTCCGAAAGGTCGACGAATTTTTTCGGTAAAGTTTTTTGGTGTTCTTCCTTTCGTTCTTTCAAAATTCAAAAGTCATCAAGGTTCAGGTTGGAAAAAGGAAAATGAAAGGTTCTGGCTTCCCTCCAGACTGGCCATGCAATCAATTTGGAGGCAAAAAGGTAACCTAGAGATCCTATGACTGGACATAAAAAAGATGATTAGGAACTGGATTCTCTAATGTTGTAAGAAAAAAATCAATATTGTATAAATACACTCTATGTGACAGAGACACTTTTATGTTTTTGGGGTAGAGCTAATAGACTTAGATCTGCTAAAGAAAATCTACTGATCCTTATATTATTATTTTTCACATTCTTGTTTCTGTTTCTTTGGCTTCTATTCTGGTAGTACTAGTGTCTAATGTTCTACCTATTCATTCCCTCTTAGCTCAGTTGGTAGAGCGCGTCACTAGTATTCAAAGAGTGGATTAGGAAATGACGAGGTCAGTCGTTCGAGTCGGCTAGAGTGAATCAAAGTCGATCTTTGATATCCTTTTTCTTTTTTGTCCTCGCTGTGCTGAAATATATGTCTAAAGTTTTGTTTTGGTGTTCTTCCTTTCGTTCTTTCAAAATTCGAAATCATCAATGGTTCAGGTTGGAAAAAGAAAAATGAAAGGTTCCGGCTTCCCTCCAGACTGGCATGCGCAATTCAATGGATTTGGAGGTAAACAGGTTACCTAGAGATTCCATTGACTGGACATGAAAAAGATGCTTAGGAACTGGATTCTCTAATATTGTTACAAAAAAAATCAATAATGTATAAATACACTCTATGTGACAGGGAAATTTTTTATGTTTTTAGAGTAGACTTAGATCTGCTAAAGAAAATTTACTAACCCCTAATTATTTTATCTTCTTATTTCCGTTTCTTTAGCTCCTATTATGGTCGTAATAGTATCTAAAGTTGCATATATTCCCTCTTAGCTCAGTTGGTAGAGCGCGTCACTAGTATTCAATGTGAATTGCAGCAATTGTAATGACGAGGTCAGTCGTTCGAGTCGGCTAGAGGGAACTGATTTATCGATCTTCTAATTTTTTTGTCCTTGCTGTACTGAAATTATGAGTCTAAAGATTTTCTTGGTGTTCTTCCTTTCGTTCTTTCAAAATTCGAAATTATCAATGGTTCAGGTTGGAAAAAGGAAAATGAAAGGTTCTGGCTTCCCTCCAGTTCAATGGATTTGGAGGCAAAAAGGTACCTAGAGATTCTACATAAAAAAGATGCTTAGGAACTGGATTCTCTAAATGATGTGTGGAAGAAATCAATAATGTACAAATACACTCGAGCTCTATGTGACAGAGAGACACTTTTATGTTTTTAGAGTAGAGCTAATAGACTTAGATCTGCTAAAAAAAATCTACTGACCCCTATATTTTTTACCTTCTTATTTCTATTGCTTCTATTCTGATAGTAATAGTATCTCCTGTTGTATATATTCCCTCTTAGCTCAGTTGGTAGAGCGCGTCACTAGTATCACGAACCAAAATTGCGCAATGACGAGGTCAGTCGTTCGAGTCGTCTAGAGGGAAGTGATTCTGAAGCTCTGTTTGATTTTTTTTGTCCTCGGTGTGCTCAAATTACGATGTATGTCTAAAATTTTTAGTGTTTCGTTCTTTCAAATTTCCAAAGGTCATCAATGGTTCAGGTTGGAAAAAGAAAAGAAAAAGAAAAAGGGTCCGGCTTCCCTCCAGATTGGCATGCGCAATTCAATGGATTTGGAGCCTAAAAGGTAATCTAGAGATTCTATGACTGGACGTGAAAAAGATGATTAGGGACTGGGTTGTCCAAATGTTGTAAGAAAAAATCAATAGTGTATAAATGTACTCTATGTGACAGAGATCTGCTAAAGGAACACTGACCCCTGTATTCTTTGTTTTTTACCTTATTTCTATTTCTTCAGCTTCTATTCTGGTGACGCTGGCATCCACTGTCCTATATATTCCCTCTTAGCTCAGTTGGTAGAGCGCGTCACTAGTATTTATTGACGGTAAATGTTGAATTTACCTAGATCAATACTTGTGAGTCTCAGGACTCAAGGGGTGCACGGCGCTTCGTGCATATACTGCCTCCAAGTCGTTTCGCTAAACGACTCAGTTGCGTCGCACGCAACTTATCCTCTGCACCGCTGTGCAAGTTTCTAGCCGCGCTCGGCATAGTACCGGAATTTTCCGGTCATGTGGGTACAGCGGTCAGATGTGTCGAGTCTTTCAGCTCTTCTCGCTCACTGCCCGCTGTACCCAGGTACGTTTTATGCACATCATTCACCTCTTCTCAGTTACTGAACGTTGTATACAGAGTTTTTTCATCGCTTAATATTTCTATTCTTCGAATACATCAACATTCTTCAGAGTTGCGCGCTCTTCTCCAATGTCTCAGAATCAAGACAACGATGAACGACGAAGTACTACCGCCTCTTCTGCAGGCAACGGTAACGCGACTACTGGTTCAAGCACTGGGCCTATCTACGTACCTTACGGAGCTGTTAATCCGCGCAGTAGCTCTAATTCGGGTCCAAGCTTCTCTCAGCTCATTACTGGTTCTAGTGCTACCGTTGGCTCGGGCACAACCAACCAAACTCAGTCTACAACCAATTCTGGGAACGTTGGAGCACCGAACGATCCCTCGGCTAACGAACAAGAGCGAGGTCCTCCTCCTGGAGTTAATTTCGACAACGAGACGGTCAAAAAGTTACAAAAGATCGTCGATGACTACCGAGATAACAAACTCGATCGAGCTTCTGCCCAGACCGGAATTGTACTCATTCTCACCAGTCTACCTGGTCCTGCAAGCGAACATGAGTCATCCATCAAAACATGGCTCGCTCAAATCGACTCTCTTGATTCCGAGCGTAACCTTGCAGCTAGGAGGGGGGAGACATCTGGAAACGGCACTACTACCATTACGAGACCTGAAGATGAAGCTGATGGTGGAGGTGGAAACCATGGTGGTAATAGCACTAGAGGGAATAATGGTGGTTCTCGATCGCACCGTAAAAAACGACGCCGTCACCATCGAAATAGCCCTTCGGATGATTCTTCGTCCTCATCTTCCTCTTCCTCTGACGAAAGCGATGATGGTAGTAAAAGGTCGAAATTCGATAAAGACTTGGTTCCTTTCGTCGCGAAAGACAAAATCCTACTCGAAACTATGTCTTCTGGAGCCCGAGCTACTCATGCACTCGCTACAAACTATCGTCGAGGAGGAAAAGCGTTCAAAGATTTACTCAAGGGTTCAGTCAGTCGACCCGAATTTCCCGACAGCGAATGGAACTCTATTATCCAGAACAAAGTCTGTGATTTTGATGCTGTACTCTCTAGTATTCATTCTCCAGCTGTTCCCAAGTCACTTAAGGAGAAGGTGGGGGCATTTGAGATTAAAGTGGAGAAGGATGTCGAGGTCACGAAGACAGTTGCTAACGAGGCCCAATGGAACAAAGCTTTCCGTTTGTTCAAGCGGGCAACTTTACACCTTTTCCCTCATCGCGATTCCGAGCTGGCTACGTATGAGAATCATATGGGTGATCTCTTTCTCTCTATTGACCCATCGCTCCATCCTCGTCTCATCTCGTACGACAAAGCAGTTCGTAACCTGGTCGCTAATCGAGGTGACCTTACCCTCGCGGACATCAATCACGATGCTTTTCGGAACGCATTCCGCACCCATATTGAAAACTACGGAGCATTTGTGGTCGAAAACGCGCAGCTTGCTTCAACTTCCTCTTCGTCATTGTCTTCAAGGGATAAACGACCTAGAGTTGAAATATGCAAGCGTTTTAATCAAGGTACTTGTGTGGGGACTTGTCATTTTGCTCATGTTTGCTCGAGACCAAACTGCAGGCGACAGGGACATGGTGCTCACGAGTGTAAAGAGGGGAAGACCGAGAAGAACTGATCGAGAGGTAATATTTTGGGTGGAGTTGGTGTGTTTTTCGGTGGTCTTGTTAATGTCATTCTTTCTCAAATCTATGACCGGGTTGCTGAGCTCAGGGCTTGGTCGTAATTTCTTTCTCTTTTCATTGTTGCTACGACTCACTACCTTGCCGCTGAGTTCAGGGCTTGGTGGTGGTTCTTCTTTTCCTCAAATGTCTTTCTATGCTACCTTGCCGCTGAGTTCAGGGCTTGGTCGCAATTTTTCTGTTCCTCAAGCGTCTTTTGATGCTACCTTGCCGCTGAGTTCAGGGCTTGGTCATATTTTGTTCTTTTACCAATCATCTCTTTATTTCAAACCCCCTCGAAGCACGTTGGGGGCACTAAAAAAATGAACCCTACCTTGTCGGAGGGATCTCGGCAACCACCTCGGAAGCCGTGGTCCCTGGAGCGTCTAAAATTTGAACGCTCTATTGCAGTCGGGGCTGCTATTGACACCTCTACGCATTCTTCTTACACCTCTGCCCTCAATTCCTATGTTTATTTCTGTGACATTCACAAATTCCCTTATAAACCTACACCCGATATTTTCAGTTTTTATATTGTTTGGCTTTGCAACAACGATGTACAGCGCGTCGATCCGAAATCGGTGGAAAAATACCTCTCTGGTATCTGCCACGAGCTGGAGGACTTTTATGATGATGTTCGGGCAATCCGAAACCATCGCATGGTTCGGAAAACCCTCCGAGGATGTCGCCGTTTATACAGCAAACCCACGAAAAGAAAATCCCCTCTTTCCATTTCTGATCTGGCTCTAGCAGTGGAACATTACCGTCATCGGCGCAATCATGACGATCTACTGTTTCTTGCTTTGCTGCTGACGGGTTGGTTTGGTTTACTTCGTCTTGCAGAGCTCTGCCTTCCTGATGTCAGGAAACACCAAAACTTACGGAAACGGACCAGACGTGATTCGGTGAAGTGGTATTTGCAAGGATATGGCTTCGACTTACCTCAACACAAAGCGGACCCTTTCTTTGAAGGAAATAAAGTTGTCATCCGTCGTCACACTCACTTCCCGACCAACATTGATCCATACAATCCTTTTCTTGATTATATCAAATCCCGCGACAACCTGTTTCCCACCCATTGGCAGCTTTGGCTGCGAGCGGACGGTTCTATGCCCACCCGATATTGGTTCATGGATAGGCTGAAGAGGTTATATAACCGCCAAGACATCGCTGGTCAGTCGATTCGTTCTGGTGGTGCTACCGGACTAGCAGAAATTGGCGTCCCAATTCATCTCATTCAAGCCACTGGTCGTTGGGCATCTGAAACTTTTCACATTTACATCCGCAAAAATCCCACTTTCCTCACTACTGTCCTACTCCAATAATCCTCTCTCACCAACGGCATGCTCCCATCATCATCTTCATCATCAATACTTCCATAGGCTCCATAGCGGTCGCTCGCATGCCCGTTTGTAATCCATCCCGGCCCCGGGGACGCCTGCCCTGGGGCGCGTTTGCCTATTCAAAATAGAGCCGTAGATGAGCAAATGATTGGTTGACGGTAAATGTTGAATTTACCTAGATCAATACTTGTGAGTCTCAGGACTCAAGGGGCACGGCGCTTCGTGCATATACTGCCTCCAAGTCGTTTCGCTAAACGACTCAGTTGCGTCGCACGCAACTTATCCTCTGCACCGCTGTGCAAGTTTCTAGCCGCGCTCGGCATAGTATCGGAATTTTCCGGTCATGTGGGTACAGCGGTCAGATGTGTCGAGTCTTTCAGCTCTTCTCGCTCACTGCCCGCTGTACCCAGGTACGTTTTATGCACATCATTCACCTCTTCTCGGTTACTGAACATTGTATACAGAGTTTTTTCATCGCTTACCCTCCCGCCCACCCTTTTTAATGCTCAAATTGTATCTGCCTTCCAGGCCGTAGTTTTACTATCAAATGTAACATCTGTTTTATTTTTGTCTACTTTATTTGCGACTAGTGTACTATAGTTTTCCTGTCTCTCGTATCTTGTACTTGTATAGCGGTCGCTCGCATGCCCGTTTGTAATCCATCCCGGCCCCGGGGACGCCTGCCCTGGGGCGCGTTTGCCTATTCAAAATAGAGCCGTAGATGAGCAAATGATTGGTCACCCTTCGCCACATAATGACGAGGTCAGTCGTTCGAGTCGGCTAGAGGGAAATAAAACTTCTCGAGGCTCTTTTTCTCTTTTGTCCTTGCTGTGCTGAAAGTATGATATATGCCTAAAGTGTTTTTGGTGTTCTTTTTTTTCGTTCTTTCAAAATCATCAAGTGTTCAGGTTGGAAAAAGAAAAGTAAGAGTTCCGACGGATGTCTTTTTTTCTTAATTTGTTGTAAGCCCGCAGCCCAAAATGAAACTCAGGCGTTAGTATGTACTACGTGCTAGACGTTTCAAGGCCGTTAATTATAATTAGTTCCGACTTTTGCTGTGTAGGTGTACATAGTACTAGTGTTTCGAAGCGTTCAACAGCTCGAAGGAAGTAGAAAAGCTGCGTACGCGTTTCTTCATATAAGTACTTAGATCAGGATGTATCTGTTTTAATAACAAGGGTTCATTTTGATATGTTGATACGAAGAATCGAAGGTGCCATGGATCTATAGGAGTCAGAAAAGTTATGATCAA